CCTCTCCATCTGTTTCAGGTTAGTGGACATCATTCAGTAAACTGTCCCGTCGGGAAATATGTCGCTACGTCACACAGTGCATCACATTTTTGCCTTTACTAAACACTTTTGATACTTTTGGAGTGCTGGTGATTACTACTTTTTGTGATTCATCAGAACTAGACAAACATTTACTCTTCCCCTTTTTACCTCCGCCAAGGGCGAGGTAATGTTTTCGGTCGCATATGTCTRTCTGTCATTCTGTCATTCTGTCGTTCTGTCTGTGGACAACATTACTCAAAAACTTGTGGACGGATTGTCATGACATTTTTAACACGTGGGTACTGGGCCAAGGAACACACCATTAAATTTTGGTGATGTTCCRGATCACGATGTGGATTCAGGAATTTTTTTCTTTTAACACTCTGAGATCGGCAAAGCTGTGATGCTTTCACAGAGCAAAAACAGTGAGTTGGATTGGACAACACGGACTTCAAACTTTATAAAAGTAACGTTAAAACCAGATTTAATGATGAATAATTTTTTGGCATATTTTGCACATTTTAACACATTTGGTGCACACGTAGAGAACGTTTTGTGACCAGGAAGTGTGTGACTGCACCATGAAACCTATTTTTCCCATTTCGTCAAACACACCACTTTTCCGAAACAACCAATCACAACAGTTTCTTGCTACTAGGCTTGTAAACAGAGAGCTTCTGGCCGGGCCTCAAAGTTTGGAGATGGGGGGAGCCAGGAAGCACTTTATAAAGAGAGTCAAACCATTACAAACTCATACAAGGGGATAAAACAGACGTTTCACACGGTGAAATGTGACTGATGAAAACTTAGGAGCTTAATCCAACACCAGTTTGATGATGAAAAATGTYGGGTGACGAGCCTGACCTTTTTTTTTCACACTGGACTCCACCGGGAAGAAATCCCTTGCATACTGCCTGCTTAAATGTTCGCTATGTCAGAACTTATTCGACAAATGTGTTTCCATCTCTGCTTTTGCGCATTAACTCTATGACAGGATGGGGGGAAATTGGTCTTGGCAGAGGTTTGCACTCTCCGAGTGCTTGTAGTTTATACAATGTAGTTGTGTGCACTACTTTTTTCCTCTTAAGTATAATAAACACAAAATGAAAATGGTTAATTTTACGTATTTGCAACTCCTCCCTGCATCTACATATTACAAAGATGAAAGATGAATTTTATGTTTTTTTTGTGTGTGTGTGTGTGTGTGGGTGTTTTTTCCAGTGTATATAAAACATTATTGCTGTTCCTCAGAAACGAACATAATAAGAGGGTTAAAATATTTATGAAATCATGTGATGTTGTCGTTCACATTTGTCTTGTTGTGTTACATGGTAGTTGTTATAGTTATAGGGTGTTGTTATAGGGCAGTTAGGCTTTTTTGAACATGTGTATCAGTCTCACTTCCTGTCCACATGAACAGGTCCATGGCCTCCCTGTACAGTGACCCTAAGTGGAGCTCCAACATGGAGGATGCTGTGTCCAAACTATCAGGTTCTGGGATTGAGTTAGAACAGGCTCTGGCCTGGGTGGGTGAAAAAACTAAAGAGGAAAACTTCTCTCTCACTGATATTTGGGGAGTTCTTACCACTGCTGGGGTCATGAAACAGGTACCAGGGACACTTGTAATACAGCTTTTCTGAAATTCAACAAACACAAAAAGTTATTTAAAGTGGTTTCTCATCAGATGAATGAACGGCAGCTCTCACATGAGGTCGAAAGGGACGTCACCAATCCATACCCTATCTACTGTGCTGTAGAGAAGCACAGCTTCTCAAATGGGCCTTTCAAAGGTAAATGYATGTGTCCATGAAAAATTATRGATTTTTGTGCAGCAAAGTAAAGTAGACTGACTTGTCTCTTAGGAAAATGGTTTGAAGTAAGCCCCCATGAAGCAGGATTCACAGAGTTRGGCCTCTTTGTTGAAACGTCTCTCCTGGGCAGCAAATTCAAGAGTGGAAAACTGCTGGAGAAGAAGCCAGAGATGGACATTATCCAGTTTCAAGGTGTGTTTCTACAGAAATATCATAACATGCATTTACCCATTTTTACTTGCACAAAATCATTTTATCACATTCTGAAAAACTATTTCATTAGTGAAAGTCACACATTTGTTGTCAGGGGCTTCTTGCCCTCGGTAGGGTCACCCAAGGCAAACAGGTCCTAGGTGAGGGATCAGACAAAGTGCAGCCCAAAGACCCCTTATGATAAATGCCACAAATGGACTGAGTGTTCCCTCGCCTGGAYGYGGGTCATTGTTGCCCCGCTCTGGAGACAGGCCTGGAGGTGGGGCACAGTGGCGAGTGCCTGTTGGCTAGACCTTTGCCCATGGAGCTCGGCCAGGCACAGCCTGAAGAGGAGACATGCTTCCCCCTGCCCATGGGCTCAACACCTGTGGGAGGGGCCAAAGGGGTCGAGTACAGTGTGTCATGGGCATTAGTCGAAGGTGAGGACCCTGGCAGTCCAACCCTCAGCTACAGAAGCTGGCTCTAGGGATGTGGAATGTCACCTCTCTAGTGGGGAAGGAGCCTGAGCTGGTGTGTGAGGTTGAGAGGTTCTGACTAGATATAGTTGGACTCACCTCGATGCACCGATCTGGCTCTGGAACCAGTCTCCTCGAGAGGGATTGAACACTCTTCCACTCTGGAGTTTCCCCTGCTGGGACGCGCAGAGCAGAAGTGGGCTTATTGTACCCTATCTTGGTGCCTATACATTGGGGTTCACCCTAGTGAACGAGAGGGTAGCCTTTCTCCACGTATGTGTGGGGGGACGGGTCCTAACTGTTTGTGCCTATGTGCCTAAAAGCAGTTCAGATCATCCACCCTTTTTAGAGTCCTTGGAGTGGGTGCTGGAGTGTGCTTCTAATGGGGACTTCCTAGTTCTGCTGGGGAACTTTAATGTTCACGTGGGCAATGACTGTGAGTCTCTGACACCCCCCCCCCCCCCACCTCTGGACTGGTGCGTTGTTATTCGACTTCTTTGCTCATCATGGATTGTTCATAATGAACACCATGTTTACGCATAAGGGTGACCATATTATGCTCTTGGCACCGGGACACCTTAGGCTGCAGTTCAGTGATGGTCTTTGTTGTTCCATCTGCTCTGCGGCGTATAGTGAGGGTCTGCTGGGAATGTCTGGCAGAGTCTCCAGTCAGTCTGAGTTTCAACTCACACTTCTGGGAGAACTTTAAACATGTTCCAGGGGAGGTTGGGGTTGGGGACATTGATTCCGAGTGGGCCATGTTCTGGCAGTCTAAGCGGATTACAGCTCAGATGGTTGCTGAGGCAAAAACTTGGGCGTGAGATGAGTTTGGAGAGGCCATGGAAAAAGACTTCATTATGGTTTTGAGGCAATTCTGTTCCACCATCCTGCTTCTCAGGGAGAAAACTTTTCACCACCAGCACAGTTTATGGTGGGGATGGTGCGCTGCTGACCTCAACTCGGGATGTTGTGGGTCAGTGAGCAGAATACTTTGAAGACCTCCTCAATCCTACCAACGCGTCTTCCAACGAGGAAGCAGAGTCGGGGGACCCTAGGTCAGACTCTCCATTCTCTGGTGCACGGCATCAGAGGTGGATGAGATTTGCCCGGAGTTTCTTAAGACTCTGGATGTTGTGGGGTTGTGTTGGTTGACGTGACTCTACAATATCACATGGATATTGGGGGTAGTTCCCCTGGATTGGCAGACCAGGGTGGTGGTCCCCCTGTTTAAAAAGGAGGACCGCAGAGTGTGTTCTAACTATAGGGATCACACTTCTAAGCCTCCCTGGTAAGATCTGTTCAGGGGTCCTGGAGAGGAAGGTCCATTGGATAGTCAAATCTCAGATTCGGGAAGAGCAGTATTGGTTTTCATCCTGGTCGTGGAACAGAGGACCAGCTCTACACCCTCAGCATGGTCCTGGAGGGTACATGGGAGCTCGCCCAACCAGTCTACATGTGTTTTGTGGACTTGGAGAAGGTGTTTGACTGTGTCCCTCGGGGACTCCTGTGGGGGGGTACTCCGGGAGTATGGGGTACCAGGCCTGTTGATACGGGCTGTTGGGTCCCTGTTTGACCGAGTTTGGTCTGCATTACCGGAAGTAAGTCAGACTCATTTCCAGTGAGAGTTGGACTCCGCCAAGGTTGCACTTTGTCACAGATTCTGTTCATAATTTTTATGGATGGAATTTCTAGGAGCAGCCACAGTGTTGAGGGGATCCGTTTTGGTGACATTAGGATTGCATATCTGCTTTTTGCGCATGATGTGGTCCTATTGGCTTCATCAGATGGTGATCTCCAGCTCTCACTGAAGCGGTTTGCAGCAGAGTGTGAAGCGGCCGGGATAAGGATCAGTGCCTCCAAATCTGAGACCATGGTCTTGAGCTGGAAAAGGGTAGACTGCTGCCTCCAGGTTGGGGAATAGGTCCTGCCCCAAGTGGAGCAGTTTAAGTATCTTGGGGTCTTGTTCACAAATGAGGGAAAAATGGAGCAGGAGATTGATAGGTGGATTGGTGTGACATCTGCAGTGATGTGGGTGCTGTACCGATCTGTCGTGGTGAAACGATTTACCGTCAGTCTATGATCCTGCCCTCATTTATGGTCACAAGCTTTGGATGGTGACCGAAAGAATGAGATCGCAGAAACAAGTGGACGAAATGTTTCCTCCGCAGGGTGTCTGGGTTCTCCCTTAGAGATAGGGCGAGAAGTTTGGTCATCCAGGCGGGACACTGAGTAGAGCCGCTGCTCCTCCATGTCGAGAGGCGCCAGATGAGGTGGCTCGGGCATCTGGTTAGGATGCCTCCTGGACGCCTCCCTGGTGAAGTTGTCTGGGCATGTCCCACTGGGAGGAGCCCCAGAGGAAGACCCAGGACATGCTGGAGGGACTGTTTCAGGCCTGGGAATGCCTTGGGATTTCCCCAACCCCGGATAAGCAGAAGAAAACAGACGGATAGAATAATTACACTTTCTCATATGCAGCAAATCACATTGTCACACTGGAAAACATGTTAAACTAGAGTAATTGCATTTTAGTGAATGCTGAGTGTTGAGACATTTTGAAGAATGAATTGACAAAGATTAAAAGAAATGCAGAACAAAATCTAAACTCAGGAAAATCACAACAAATTGCTATTGAAGTCACATGACTGAATTTTTATTATTCTTTTTTTTTGTAATTTGTAAGTCATAATCATTGAAACTACAAGAAATAAGGGCTCAAAATATTTCACTCACTTTATGTAATAGAGTTTTACTTTTTCTACTCTGCAGGCATTTTTGGCAGTGCACTGGCTAACGAGGAGACAGTCAAAAAAAAGCTGGATGGTAATTGGTGTTTAAACTACAAACCTGCTAAGTGTGTTAATCCTTATCTCACACTCTAGCTTTGTGTGTTTGTTTCAGCAATTGGAAACATTGATGCTGCTACTGAAAAGTATCTACATGCACGCAAAGTATTCAGTAACTTGATATGTCTGGTCAGAAGCATCATTAAGGACCCCACAGCACAGTCGGATTTGGATCAACTGCAAAAAATTCTACAAGGTAAAATTTATAAAATTGTTTGGCGGTTAAGGCTGAAAATGTCTGCTGTGTAATAATGATGCAGGGACTGTATATCTGATTGAATATGCAGCATGAATACGTATTCCTCTCTTCTCCAGACAAGTGTAGTTGTAATGACTCCATGCTGCTAAGATCTAAATGCCCAGAGGAAAAAGAAAGTCTGCTCCAGCAGCTGAACCAGGATCTTCTGGTAGCAGTTCAGACCTGGAGCCAAGGATTGGAGGATGGAGGCTTCAAAAGCCACGGTGAGTACACAGGAGTTGGTTGCCTTTGTTGGAGAAAAGTGACATTTCTTTTAATTTAATTTCAACTGTCTTTTCTGCAGCTTCTTTTATTACGGAGCAACTCGTTCCTCTTATAATAAAATGGGAGTGGGGAACAATCAACAACTTCCTCTACCAATACCAAGGTGAGAACAAAGACATACAAGCTCTGATTGGAAGTAAATAAACAAATGATTCATTTTATCTCATTTTGACACATGAAGTGTTCAACAAAGATGCATTACAAAAAAACCCTATGCTGTTAGAATTAAGGCTGGGTTATAGTCGCGCTTTGGGTTGTTGCGCAAGCTCCGCGGAGTACATGCGCTCCTGAGCCGCGTGCTGTTTGATAACATAGCTAACGTTCATGTTATCACTGTTCTTCCATCACCGACAGACGGCAGTACGGTACCAAACCAGCGGAAAAGTAGTCGGGAAGAGTGTAGAAGAAGAAACGCTTGACGTCACACATAACAAAGTAACAATATTTACCTCTTTTTTTATATTATCTGTTTCTCTGTGCTTCACGAACTGAGAGAGCAACACTGGTTTGTTTCCTCCAGGATCACAAACCGGTCGTAAATATTTTTCCATGTCGTCCGGCATATTAACTCATCTTTCTTTAAAGTCGTTACTATTTACTTCCATGAGTTTTGAGCCATGTAGTTGTCTTTATGATCTCTCATGGAGGGATCATACAGATGCCGGTACATTTGGACCTGTTCAGCGAGAGCACCTTCGCAACGAGTGGCGTGCAGCCTTTGCGGAGCTTCAAAATTTCTGAGGTGCACGACGCGTGGGGGCGGGGATGCCGCGATTGCATAACTTCTGATGCAAACCTCTCACGCCCTGTGCGTCGCATCAACTATAACATAAGCTTTAGAAGAAAGTTTGCTTTAGGCTCTGTTCAGAGACGTACATCAACTGATTAATGAACCTGGAGAATATATATCATTTTACAAAAAAAAAACATGTTTCAGGAAAAACAACATGGCATGATGAACCAACATTTGCTTTTTTCCCCACCATTAAATTCAGCAGTTAAATAAAGGGCTAGTTCCTTTAAATGTTTGCCTTTGCACTCCTGGAGATAAACTCTAGTTAGATATCTAAGATAATTTGACTTGTCAAACCTGGTCAAAATTATTCAAAACTGAATACAAATGTCTGAAAACACAGTTTACAGTAAAATTATATAACTAGAACTATCTAGAACTGTAAAATTTAAAACATATGCTTTCAATATCTGTCCAATCTGAAATAGCTATCCATCCACCCCTTATCTTGTGCTTATTCCGAGTCGGGTCGCAGATGCGCCGGCTTCAGCAGGGAAGCCAAAATCTTTTTCTGTCTCCACATCTTCTGACTGTTCTGGGAGGACTCCAAGGTGTTTCCAGGCCAGACGAGAGACATATAGTCTCTTCAGCATGTCCTAGGTCTTTCCTACGGGTCTCTTTGCAATCAGACATGCCTGGAGCCACCTCCCTTGTGAGCCTTCCAAGAAGCATCTTTACCAGATGATCCACCTCAGCTGGCTCCTCTGGATATGGAGAAGCAGCAGCTCTATTCTGAGTCTCTCCTGGATAACATAACTTCTCACCCTATCTATAAGGGAGAGTCCAGCTACCCAGCAGATAAAACTTATTTCAACCTCTTGTATCCACAATCTTGTTCTTTTGGTCACTACCCTAAGTTTCTTGGCCATAGGTGGGGGTAGGAATGTAGACCTACCAGTAAACGGAGGGATTCACCTAACAGCTTAGCTCCCTCTACACCAAAACAGATCGGACCAGTCTGCAAAACTCCAGAAGCCGCACCAATACATTTGTCAATCTCCTGCTCCATTCTTCCCTTATCCGTGAATAAAACCCCAAAATACTTGAACTGCTACACTTGAGGTAGAACCTCATCCCAACCTGGAGAGAACAATCCACCCTTTTGCAAATGAGGACCATGGCCTCAGATTTTGAGGTGCTGATTATCATTTCAGCAGATCTGGTCCACACTCTGAACCCTGCTGCCGTGGAGCTTTTCAACTACCTTGGTGACCTCAGCCCCAGTTATGGACAGACCAACCCCAAAATCCCGGAGTGAGCTTCCTCCATGAAAGATGTGCCAGTGGGATTGAGGAGGTCAGAGGTATTCTTTCCACCTCCTGACGACATCACTGGTTGTGGTCAAAGGCACCCCACCTTTACACATTGTTAGTGAAGTGCTGCTTTCCCTGCCCCAGCCACCAGATGGTTTGCCAGAATCTCCTCAGAGCCGATTGAATCTCTTTATCCAAGGCCTCACTGAACTCTTCCCTCATCTGATCATTTGCCTCAGCAACAGCCATGGGTGCAGCCCACTTGGCCTATCCATACTCCTCATTTGCTATCAGTGTCCTACTAGCCTATAAGGCCTAGAACTATTCTTCAGTTTGATAACCTCCCTAACTTGAGGTTTTCACTGCCAACTTCGAGGATGGCCACCATAAGAAACACCAACAACCTTGTGGCCACAACTCAAGATAGCTGCTTCAACAATTGAGATGCAGAACATGGACTCAATGTCCCCCACCTCATCTAGGAGGTAGTTAAAAATCTCCAGGAGGTGTGATTTAAAAATCTTTCTGATGGGTTCTTCTGCCAGGTATTCAAAGCAAACAGTCACTGCATGTTTGGGTCTGCCGGGTATGTCCAGCATATTCCCCCACCAACTCACTATCAGATGGTGATCAGTTGACAACTCAGCTCCTCTCTTCATCCAAGTGTCTAAAACATGGTGTTTGAGATGTGCAAACTGTGATCATCAAAGTTCAACAACAGAAGACTACTCGAGTTTAGATCAGGGAAGGCCGTTCCTTCCAGTCACACCACCCCCAGGTCACATTGATGTACTGAAGTCCCCCAGCAGAATAAGTGAGTCCCCAGCTGGAGCATCTTCCAGCACCCTCACTAAGGACTCCAAGAAGGCTGGATATTTCAGTCTTTTGGAACTAAAGTAGAACTGGATAGTTTTAAACTTTTTTATCATAAAACTAAAAACATCTAATATTTTAAGTGAATTCTATGTTTTTTTTTTAAGCAAAATTAACATAATCACTGTTTTATTTTTGTTCCAACACTGGGTTCTGATGATGATAGAATCCAATAACCAAAGCATGGATGAACCATTTTAGTTCATATTCTCCAACTCTCATGTTTTCAAGTAGGGCTGGGCGATCCATCCATCCATCCATTTTCTGCCACTTGTCCGGGATCGGGTCACGAGGGAAGCAGACTAAGCAGAGCGACTCAGACTTCCCTCTCCCCAGCCACTTGGATCAGCTCGTCTGGGGGAATCCAAAGGCACTCCCAGGCCAGCCGAGAAACATAGTCCCTCCAGCGCAGAGGTGCCCAAAGTGGGGCCCGCGGGCCAAATTTGGCCCGCCAAGCCATTTGATTTGGCCCACTAGCAGTTATCCTGGTTACTAGATTGCAATCTCCTGTTTTAGAAATCCTATATTTGCACTTAGTCTTTTCAAACATTGGTCCAACTAGGTACAAGAAACTGTAGTCAGATAAACTTAACTCATGGTGCTCACTTTATATTTAAATTCTATTAAGATTAAACTTAAAATACAAGTAACTTCAAGAGACATTTATATTAGATTTAAGTCCATATAGATTTGCACACCTTATAAGACCCTATACTCAAATTTTAAATTATGGAAAGTACCATGAGCCTGTGCTGCCCGAGCAAATGTTGAATTTTCTCAATGTCCATGGGCTGAAACAAACAAACAAACAAACAAACAAACAAACAAACAAACAAACAAAATGTGGGCAACTGCACTAGCTTAATCATAAAAAATAGAACTTTACTTGAAGTATTTGCATTTCATGTATTATACTATTGCATTTGGCCCACCACCCTCAGATTGATTTTAATTTTGGCCCTCTCAGGGAAAATATTTGGGCACCCCTGCTCCAGCGTGTCCTGGACCTTCCCCTGGGCCTCCTCCCATTGGGACATGCCCGGAACACCTCACCAGGGAGGTGTCCAGGAGGTATCCTAACCAGATGCCCCAGCCACCTCAACTGGCTCCTCTCGATGTGGAGGAGCAACGGCTCTACTGAGTCCCTCCCGGATGACGGAGCTTCTCACCCTATCTCTAAGGAAGAGCCCAGACACCTTGCAAAGGAAACTCGTTTTGGCCGCTTGTATCCGCGATCTCGTTCTTTTGGTCACTATCCAAAACTCATGACCATAGATGAGGGTAGGAACGTAGACCGACCGGTAAACCGAGAGCTTTGCCTTCTGGCTCAGCTCCCGCTTCACCATGACAGACCAGTAGAGTGCCCGCATCACTGYAGAYGCAGCACCAATCCGCCTGCCRATCTCCCGCTCCATTCTTCCCTCATTCGTGAACAAGACCCCGAGATACTTAAACAGCGTTTTTATACTGGATTACTTTGGTTAATTCTGCGATTMCGTCTGCGTTTCCTTAGCAACTTATAAACGGAGGTGGARCAGGAGAAGGTGGATTCTGATTGGCTGTGGTCGCGCACATTTCTGCCATGTTTGATCGAGTCAGAGGCTCACAGTTGATCACCGCGATCGACCTGAATTTTCTCGATCAGTAATCGCGATCAAATAATCGCCCAGCCCTATTTTCAACGACAGCAGGCAGCTATCTTAAATGTAAGAGTTCCCCTAATTACGTTCTTTAGGAAGGAAGTATCAACAAAATAAGCGTATCTTTGAAACATGGGCTTGAATAAGAATTTTAAACCATTTGATTTTTTGCCATTGACAGATTCCTCAGTCCCCCCTTACCTCCAGTCTAAAGAACAGTTTCACCTGATGGATGCTGGGCTGCTGATCAATGTGCCTTATCCTTCATTTCTGGGGGACAAGAGAGACATTGATCTGATTATTGCTCCAGAGTACAGCGCTGGAAACATGTTTGAGGTAATCAAAGATAAGTGAACTCAATATTACAGGTGTTTTAATGGGAAAATTAGAATTTATCTTTTTTGATATTATTAAATTTGATAGTAATATAACTGGCTTTCCTGCAAACTGGTCACCCACAGTCACACAAGCATTTATATAAAGAACACTGCAGCAATAAATATTAGATAAATAAATAAATAAAAATAATAGAGTGAAAAGTAAAACCACAACAGCTTTTTTTAAACACAACAGCACATTGGACGTCTGTCCATAAACACACACACACACACACACACACACACACACACACACACACACACACACAGCGAGGGATACTTTGTGGGTGTTTTATTCATGAGGTTAGCTGAGGAGACTGTCCTCCATGTTTTTTTTATTATTTTTTTGTTTGAAGCCAGTTGTTAAAAGAGCTAGAAGATCAGCTGGTTTGAACCTATTGAACATGAGCTGATATTCACGTGACATTTTTTATCCATCACCACCAATAACCAAACAAAAATAAAAGTTTTTCCTTCGTGGACTCTTCACCCAACACAACACTGACCATTGAGTGAAAAAAAACCACAATATCCAGCCATAATTATTGTTGTTTATATACTTATATG